TCCAATCAAGACGAAAATACGGAAACGCCTCAAAAGAAAGGAAACACCTCAACTAAATGAAGTTTTTAAAAATACGGAAACGCCTCAAAATTATTTGAAGATCCCTCATAAATATTGGGAAATTCCTCAAAATTATTTGTTAGCTAAAAGGCGGACACCTCTTAAAATTTTTAGAAAACGCCTCAAAATAAAGCGGAAACCCCTCAAAAACTGTGTTTTGAGGGATTTCCGTATTTTTCAGAGAAATGGAGGAAACAACTCAAAAAAAGTACTTTTGAGGGGTTTCCTCTCTTTTTTAGAGGCATTTCCGTGGTGAGACGTTTCCATAGCATCCTTATTTCAATGGCAGTTAAAAAAGTTACATTTTAAAACTACGTGAAAGTCTGCTTTAATATGTTTAATAAACACATTTCCTCATTCAAAAAATTCAATTATGTCTACATGAAATATGGTTGTTAAAGACCATGTTATGGTTACTCTGTGCTGGTCTCACAATATGGCAAGGTTACAATTCAGCAATCAAGTTCATGAGCACGCCTATTGGAACCTTTGTAGAAGAACTCAACATTCAAGGTGGGTTAACACACTAGCTTGGAAACCCAGCATTATCTAAAACCTAAACTTTCGCTAGAAAAAAAACTATTTTTACAAATATTATAAAAATATTGAACCCAGCTAAGAACATTACTGTGGTTCTACCGAACTCTCCAATCAAAATTTGAAGCAAATCAGTCAGGGGGTTGAAGAGTTATGAACGGACATTTTAATCCACAGATAGACTAACAGAGATTACCTTTTTACATCTATTGTAAGCTCGGAATTGGAATAGTTCCATTGATGTAATCCCTTCATTTCTCATATGAACCAGAGCTAAACTCAGAGTGGATAGTTCTGTTGATGTAATCCCTACAGTCCTCATACAGACATGGAGCTAAGCTCAGATTGTAAGTAGTTCGGTCTCTAAACAAGACAATATATTAGCTCTTTTGTATATGCTATGTAGCAAATACTTACTCCATAACAATTTACTTGAGACGTATCTATCCAGGCTACACCTAATTTTCAATCATACAGTTTTTCCTCTTCAATTATTTTTTCTATGGCTTGTTTGAATTCTTCCATTACTTCAATTTTCTCATCCACGGTTTGATTATCTTTCTCCATTTGCTAGATTTTCTTCCTCATCAGCGTGTAATCTACCATTGGTTTCTGTATCTTATCTGTTGTTTTGGTTAATGCTCCAAATGCTGGTGAAACACTTCTCAACATGTCCCAAAACAACTCTTCCACTCCATGGATGCACCAATACAGCATCCATTTCAAGTTTTTATCTGGGATTGCTTCCCATGCGAAGTGAATCAAATGGGTTTCCAAATTCTTGCACCATTTGAACATTTTTTCCGTGTTTCCATCATATTTGGGAGCATTGTCGACAAAACTGTGTATTCTCTCTTTAATATTGTCTTGACAATTGCTTAATTCTTACTGAAGTTCTTCGTAAAAGGCCTTATCAAGGTCTGCTTTCTCAGCTTCATCAAGATCAGCCTCATATTTGCTAAGCTCTTTATTAAGTTTTCTTCTCCCAGCTTCAATCATGCCAGCTTCAATTATCCCAGCTTCAACCATTTCCTTTAGAGGCTCAATGCGTTCTCGGGTTTTATCCATCTTCATATTCTGCTCCAACATTGTTTTCACTCTTGCTATCTTTTCTATTATTTTTAACCCCTTCTCAGCTTGAAGTGTCTGCTCTCTGTCTCATGGCTTCCTATTCCTTGCATGGATGGTTTCCGCCTGCTTTTCTGGTGTCCTTCATGTTTGGTATTCTGATTTCTGGTTCTTCACTGTGTTCTCTAGGGTACAATTTAAAACTGTCCTTAGTTACACTCTGGTAACAATTTACTCGAGGTGTATCTATCCAGGTCTACTCGTAGCCAAGATCAACCAGGACTGATTCTCCGATTCTAAAGAACACATAGCCCATATCTCTACTCGTATAATTCAACAAGGTCCCAAGCTTTCTTTCAAGCTTGATTTGATTAATTTGCCAATTATCAAGGCAAGATCTCTTCTTGTATAATTCAAAAAGGTCCCAAGCTATTTTTGACTCATTTGTCATTCCATTGAAACGCAGTTTCAATGCATAATGTCCTTATACAAGTTAACAACTTTTAATCATTATCAATGTACAACGTACTGCAATTTTTTCAGAATATCATGTTTGCCCACTTTTTGCTTTAGCTATAGGTTGGACAGAAAGTGGGGCGGATGATAAATCGCCAACAGGAGAAATATTTGTAGTTAAAGAATGCCAACCCAGAAAACATGCTTCGAATGCATCTTTGAAGGCATTGAAAACCATAGCCACCATTGGCCCAGATCGTAGTTTAAATTCAAGCCAATAGGCATGAACCACAGCTTAAAAGGAGAAAATAGGACCAACCTGGGCTAAACTCAAAAAAAAGTCAGTGTTCCCAAGGAATCCAAAGACAGAAGATTAATTCGTCATACAAGGCTAATGAAAGGCGGAGAGCTCGTCAAAGAGCTCCGGCTTTCCATGATTCATTAGTTTCATTTATATGTTAATTTTTAACTTGTAATTACATTTTTTCCTATACTCTGTAGATTTACTCACATCAGTGTTCAGGCTTTAGATTTCCTTTATTTCATACCATCTTGGTAACATGGTAACACTATATACTAGCTTGGGAAACCAGTGTCGCCCATAGTTAGTCCCACTGTTTACCTGCCCTCTTTTGTAAATTACCATTTTAGCCTCTGCACTCTCTGCACCCACTCAACTTAGAATCTCAAAACCAAGCTAAAAAAATTTTTGTGGTCCTACCGCGTTCCTTGATACAAATTTGAGACAGATCGGTCCAGGGGTTTATGAGTTATGACCAGACAAACAAACAGAGAGTCTCTGTCTGTTTATTTCTATGTCTGATCATTACTCAGTAAACCCATGACCGATTTGTCTCAAATTTTGAACCACGGGAATATTATTAGCTTGGTATTAAGATTCTAAGTTGAGTGGGTCCACATAATTTACGACCAAGCATGGGTAAACGGCGTGAGTAACTACATATGAGTACCCTGAGTAACATTGCGTTCTCTATCTATGTTATACGTTGATTTTTAAAACGTTCAAAATAGTACTCAAAGCTAAATGAAAAAATTACCTTTTACTAACGATTAAGATGAGAATTTAAGGTTTTTGATAATTGTGAATCAGTGCTCATTAAACCCTTATTTTATTATTGGTTCAGAAGCGGTGCCTGATTTGCAAATTTCCTTCTGTAAGAAGATTAATCTTGAGAATATGTTTAACTGCACTCAAGGATTGGAAATAAACTAATTCAATTTACCCAATTTAAAAAGTTTGATTGAATTGCTTAGCACTGATAATGAGATTTACAGTTGATGGGATTTAAAAGGTTTTTTTAAATAATTAATTTCTCCTAATTCTTATATGACCTACCTTTATACTGTGAGACTTAAAGGGACTGTGACCGAGTATGAATTAAATATCTATGTTTAAATTCTTTGAACTGTTTTCATTTATTTGCAGGTTCTCTGCAAAAGTGACTTGGGGAATTTTTGATTCTAAGAAGCAATGGAGTAGTTAACAGAAATAAACACTTTTGAGTCAGAAAAATAACAGTATTTTTAACAATTTTGATTGAGGTTTCAAAGGTATCGTATCAAGCATTTGCCATCTTTGAATGCAGGGTCTCATAAAGTCATGCTTACAGGACCTTAAAGAAAAGTATCTATAATATCATGGAAACCTTCAAACATTTTCTGGAGATGCTTTTGAAGGAGGAACTTATGATTCTTTATTGAAAAAAATTCAAAAGTTAGATTAATTCTGATAATTAAGCCCATTACTGAAATAGAAAAGAGGTTCTTAATAGATCCGGTGTGGCGTTATTTCAGGGATAACGTTAAATAATGGTAATAGATTCTACGCAGCAAATTTTCCACGGCATCCGCGCATATTTTTGCAGTTTACGGCAATGTGCACATGAGGAATCTGGTATTTTATCTGAAATTTTAAAATAAGAAATTATATTTATACACTTAAATATACATCTTAATGCTGATATAATGTGAGTACAGAAGTAACTAACTATACATTAAACTCTCATTAGTTGCAAGTATCAGAATCTTATCTTAACAATTAACTTAAATAAAGCTGTAACATCGATCCCTAATGTTAAAACAATTAATTGATTGTTACTGTCTGTTGCTCAGCAAAACTTGATTGATTCTCAAATATGAGAAATACTTTCACTTAATTTACTGTTTACATTCACAGAATTGTGCGCGAATGCTGCAGAAAATGTTCTGCGTAGAGTACTACCATTATTTAATGTTTACCCAGAAATTACGCCACACCGGTAAAAAAATGCTTCTCACTGCCACAAGAAAAATGTTTATTCAATTTGTAGGAATTGATCTGAATTGCTTTGATCAACAAGAGGTATATATTAATTTAAATAAAGACTCATTCATATTTTGTATACCAATGTAATATGATCGTAGCTATAACTGGAACACAATTTTCCCCTGTGTTTTTTTACAGGGTTCCAATGCAAGTTTTCATTAAAAATACCAATAAAGAACACATTTAATACAGTAGAACAAATTCATCTTGTAGTTTGTCTAATTTAAAGAGTTTTGGTTGGCATTAAATGCGGCATAATATGTTGTATTGTTAGGAAAACATTTCCCTGGTAGACAATTCACAAATGACATCTTCTAGAGAATTATCATTTGAAGATTATCTATCAAAAGTTGGTCAATTGTTTGGAATTCATGATGTTATTGAGAGGTTTTATGTCAAGACTGAAGAAGGTTCTAAAAGGATATTAGAGTATGATAATGAAATGTCATTTACTAATAACTCGCAGAATTTTAGGTAAACAGTGACATTAAAGCATGAAATTTTTAACAAAAAAAATATTCTATTGTTTTCAAATTATTAATTTAGAATGCAGCTATATCCATATGTTGGCAATTATGTATTGCAATGTTATACTTTGAATCAATATATTTCACAGTTAACACAGTTACATATTTTACCAGCTAAACCCAAAGGTATTGATCTATTTTCCAATATCATTTTAACTAAGATTTATTTTTGATTTAAACTTAGGTAAAGTCGACCTAAATCCTGTATGTTTGTATGTTCATAAAGAAGGGCAATTTCTCTTTAAAAATGCTCTAACAGAAGTATCAAATATTGATCATATAACAGATATTAGCCTAGATATTAAAGTGAAACAATTTGCTTCTACCCCTAACATGGAGTGTGCTCCTGTGACTCATAGTTTTGATTCTTGTGCTGAAAGATTTATGTCTTCAGATCTTGCAGGAGATCACTGTGAGCTCTTTCTCATTAAAGGAAGAAACAAATCAACACTTTGCAAATCAAAGAAAGATTATGAGAAAACCTTGAGACTATTCCAAACAAGCCTTGTTAATTGCCAAGAACCTTGCAATCAAATAGAGGTTAGTTTAAGAGAAAACCCAGTTGACTGGTTGTACATTCTGATGAACCCTCAGTTTCCTGTTAAAACAGTTATCCCAGGATACTATTTGAAACTCCCCTCTAAAGTGCTAGCTTCAGAAATGTATGAAAGTTACACTAGTTTTTCTTTCATTGCTGAATTTGGAGGCTGGGTTGGTCTATTCCTGGGAATTTCTGTTCTTGGGGCAATTAAATCACTTCTACAGTTACACTCAAGTTCAGGAAAAGTTATTAAAAAGTTGGCAAAAGAAAAACTACCAGGTGTTTTGCTTGTATTCAAAATGTTTTGTGCAGTTGGTTTAATGTATATTCTTTATAAATGTTGTGAAAAACTTATAACTGGAGAAAAGCAATTGGATGTTAACTTGGTTCAGAATCCCTCTATAAATATTAGTTTGTCATTGTGCTCAATGGAAAATATTTATAAAGTACCTTTTAAAGGTTCTAATCATTCTTATATTGGTAACCATTCAGACTTTTGGCTGAAGTCCACAAATCTAAGTAAAAAACTTCAAGCAATGACAGTTGTTTTTCAAAATGGAGAAAGTCTTCTGGTTTTTCACTCTGAAAAAAACTTAAAACATCCTAATTACATTTTTGGTGTAATAAATACTCCAAAGTATGGAACTTATATAGAAAGCTGTCATTTTTTAAACCTGAACGCCTGGAGCAGCATCAAAACTATTGAGCTTGAAACTAATGAAGAACTGTCTATTGATTTTCATATGGCAGGCCAGCTTCTTAGACATGGAAAACAAGGATATAATTTTATCAACAAATATTCAGTTTCTTTTAGGTACAGGTTATTCTTAATTCTGCCAGGAAGTATTGAGCGTTTTCATTTTTAGTTTTCTTATAATTATGAGGAAACATTGGAACTGTTGTAGTAATACTTACATTTATCAAAATTTAAATGAAAATGTAATAGCATTCTAATTGTTAATTTTACAGGTCTGAGGATGTTGGGTTTGTCAATATGCCAAAAATGATGTTTAATTTTGAAATTTTGGATCAAAGTCAGATATTGAAAGATGACTTTAACAACAGTTCTACATATGATGACTGCATATTAGAACAAATAAAAACAAGAAATAAAGATAGAAATATTGCTGATTTTCTGGAAAATTTATATTTCTTGAAAGACGTTACAAATAAAACTTATGCTTCTAATGGGCTTCAGGAAAATGAGTTTAAATACCTTTCCATGATGTTTGAGACTTGTCTACAGTCTTTGACTTGTCCAGAACCAAATATTGAGCTGGAAGTTAAGCCTGAACCTACAGAACTAGATAAAACAACAATTAACATGATAAAAAGGGAGACTGAACCTTGGATCAACTCCACATTTAATTATACTGGTGTATTCGTTGGTAATATTGAACTTCCATCATCTTCTGTAATAAATAAGGTATTACAACTTCCATATGTACACTATGCAATGTTTTCAGGTAACCATACCTACTAATTTACTTTGTGTAAGGTGTATTATTCTTATGGATTTATAGCTTTTGTTGGTGAACTTGGGGGATGGGTTGGTTTACTCCAAGGACTAAGGTATTACTTGTAGATTCATGAACATTAGAACTAGCTGAGTAAAATCTTTTTAAATTATACTTTTTTAATATTTTTTAGTATTCTCGGACTAGGATATATTCTGAAAGAAACTATTAGTCTAAAAAGAAGATATATAGGTGATCTTGCCTACCTTCTTGTTTTCATTGGAATATCTTCTGCTTTGGTAACTCAGATCATATATTCAGGCCTTAAATGGAAAAGTGCCCCAACGGGTATAAATATTGAATACAAGAAAGGAGAATCTGATCTGAATATATCTTTAACTTTTTGTGAACAAGGATCTAATAGATTAAACAATGCCAGCTTGACACTGTTAAATCTTATCTCTGTTTATACCAGAAAAAGAGAGCTTGCACCATGGACTAAATATCATGATGAAAAGAATCATAATGAATCCAATACATTTATTTGGCTTGGATTTTTAATGAAATGTGATTGCAGAACAATAATATTCAAGGGAAATGATGCTAAGATTTTGCATAGTATTAATGTTGATAAAACGGGGCCAGGGATGACTGTAATAGTTCATGATTCTGGAAACTTGAACAGCCAAGGCAGCCTTGCAATACCTGAACATTATTACATGAACAATAACATATTAAACCTGGAAGCTGAACAGACTCAAGTGATAGAAACTAATGATCTGTGCACAACCACCATTGACTTTGACACATGTAAAGATGATTATTTGAACAAGGAGCTGAACAAAACATTTGGATGTGTCTTGCTTAACAAAAGGAGAGTTTATTTACAATCCAATGCAAGGAAATGGATAAATAATTAATATAGAAGCCTCATTGATTACTCAATTAATATTTTTTCCTGGCTTTAGTGTATAACAACTATTATCCCCTATGTAGATTTAAACATTTAATTGTTTTCAGGAACTCTGATACAAAGTATCCTGTCTGTATTTCAAAAAAGTTACAATATTCCTATCCAAGAGAAGGAGAAAAGCCATTAACTAATAACTATATTTTTATTTTAAATACTGTAATGGTGATGGACCAAACCTCTGTAGGGTAAAAAAAAGTAGTAGTTCGGTTTGGGTTGGCCCTAATCAGTTCTTAAAATTGGTTGACAAAGATCTTTGATTTAATAAGAGTAAACTTGGAAAATTTTTCAGTTCTTGTTGTTGCTGAACAGATAAAGCTTTTTAAAAAAATACAGTTAATCTGATAGCATCTACATTTTACTACTGTAATTGTCAGATTGATCAGTAGTCAATGATTAAAGTTTTTTTTGTTGCCTGTGAGTTTTGTTTGTTTAAATTGAAATCAAACTTAACTAGTACCTTCTTAATTATTAACTATAGAAGATCAAATAATGATTTTTTGATGTTCCTAATCATTGATTTCACAGTGCCCTCCTTATTTAACATTGATGACACAGTGCCCTCCTTATTTAACAGCTAACAATTTTCCTTTTTGTAATTTGTGGTAATCTTATACATGGCTTTTCAATAGTGCTAGAGATTAGGCAGAGAATCAAGGAGATCTTTGAAAAATACGAGGAACTTTTTACAAATTTTAAGCCTGGTGTTAACACCTGCCTCCTACCATGCAAGAGAAGTCAATTTAAAGCAAACCTGTTTTACCAGGAAAAAAAGGTAGGCCCAATAATTTGAGCCTGATCGTCAGGTAGGGGTTGAGGGGGAGTGGTAATTTCCTAGTATACAATTTTTGGTGGGGGGGGGTCCAAAAATCGTATACTAGGACAGACCCGGGGGAGTAAGCAAAGTATTGTAGAATAATGATTAGTTTACCCCATAAACCACTCCTTAATAATCAGACCCTTTAAAGTATATATTTAGTAATGTAAATATCTTTATGCTTATTCTTAACAAATTGTTGCTCAATTTCAAAATACAAGAGTTGTAAAAGAGTTGGTTATATCTGATAAAAGACAATAGTAACCTCTCTCTATGCTCTCCTTCTTAGGCTCCAGAAGATGAGAAGTATCTGATTATCAGAAAACCAAGATATTTCAAGATAATGAAGAGGGATTATATTTATACGATTCAGAACCTTGCTTCAGAGTTTGGAGGCTGGTTGGGAATATTGTTTGGGTACAGCCTCCTTGATCTTGGGATTACTGGAATGGAAGTTATAGCATTATTAGTTAACTTCATATTTAAATATGATTTTTAACACATTTGTAACCAGTCTTAATTTTAAACAAATGCACTGCATTATATTTACCAACATTTACTAATTCCTAAGCATTCTTCGCACACTATATTTGTGGGATTTCCATCAAAGGAATTGAGTTTTTGCCACAAACTCCAATTTTCTAATTCCTATAACTTTGCAACCTGACTTAGTTTAATTTATCTAACAGAATTCTTACTTAAGATATGAAGAGATACAACATAGGTTGCAAAGATATAAATTATACAAAAGAACATAAAATCCTGTCACAGTTATAATAATAAAAATGTAAATTTGATTGTGAGCTTACAATATTTAAAAAGATGTTTTAATTTAAAAAAACTAATCATTTAATGTTAGTAATGCAATTTGTGTATCAAACATGCATACACATTCATAAATGGCAAATAATTTTTTTAATGTTTTGATAAAGGAGAAGGTATCTGTTAAGGTTCCTGGACCATAAGATAGAAAAATTACAGATAGAAAAATTACAGATAAAATGTTAATGCTAACATGTCTTAGAAACTATGGTACCAAGGCTTTGAGGGTGGAAGCCTGTCAATCATGTAAAACTAAAAAAATATTCAGTAGTTTTCTTAATTTTAAGCCTACCGGGTGTCTTTAAAGAAACAGTGGTCAATGTCAGTGTCACAATTGAGATTTTCATTTTCTTCTTTGACACTAAAATTATTAATAAATAATTTCTGACTTACTGTGAAAAAACAAAAACCTATACAGATGCCATTGCCACCAGTTCTGTAAAAAAATGCCAGTCTTTCTTAATCTATCTTAATTACAGAAAACACACTGTATTTCTGTCTTCTCTACCTAGGGTTTAAGCCAGGTCTATTCAAAGCTAGATTTTATATGTAACTAACTAATTATTGAGACTTAAGGTTACAAGTCAAAACTAAGGTAGCGTAGCGGGCACCTTACTAGTACATATATGAATATTTACAGAGTTTAAGGTACGATATTGTTAATACTTTGTTTAGTTACAAGAATTACACAGGAATAACAGTTATTAACAGGAGTATAGATAAGGTATCAGGTTGCACGGACATAGTTTTTATTGATTATACCTTAATCTCTAAAGCAAATTGGATTGGCATTTGAAAATTTTAAAATACTTAGCTTTTCCAGAGCCTCAGTAATAAACACTGTATATCCGCCCGTCAAAAGTAAACTTCTGTGTATAAGAATCTCTGATTGAAAATGGCGGTTCAACTTCCTCACAGGATGATGTATTTTTCTTATTAGGTAGTTTACACGCAGTACACGATATACTACATCAAGTATGTTGCATGAAATAAAGCTTCCATGTAATAAGAAGCTCTACATAGTTTACTTCCACTTTTTGCATATTTCAGTTTTTGAATTTTTTAGTTAGATGTTTTTGATTTAGCATAAAACAATTAGCAATGTGTCAATTATGCTTTCGCTTTTTCTTCTGAAACTATTAATCTTATAATCTTTGTTTTAAAAAGTTTAGAAAAAATATATAAATTATTGTTTTGTTTTAATTAGATTTCATTATAAATATTAATAACTAATATGCTATTAAGATATTTGATAAATATAATTGAAATCTTAATGTGTTGACCTTGTCAATTAGGTCTTTCTCAATAAATATTGAATCAAAATCTATACAAAAGAATCTTTGGTATTGTTATAACCATCTAAAGGGATTGGTATTACAGTACTTTTCTCTATCCGAATATTAATGAATATTAAATTAACTATGCCATTAGCTATTCTTAATCACCAGTTCTTTCCATAAATTTAAAACTCATGAATTTTTGCCACAAAAATCAAATTTTACAATCCTTATGGTGTTTAACCTTTAATATTTCAAACTTTTGTGGATTTGAGAAAACAGAATTCAAAGTTATCTATTAAGGGTTAAGCATTTTTCTGGAATTATTTTCTTGAACCATAAATGTATTCTTCTAGGAATTTTAAAATATGCTTACAAAAAGGCTGTTGCTAATAGGTTTTAATGAAAATAAACCTTCAACAAATCAGTACTAAAGGCAACAATAAAATTTTTGAAAAGTGTATTGCCTAGATACACTAGAGTATATTGATATGGGTCTTGCTGAGATCGGCTTTATTCCCGAGTTTAAATTTATTATTTACAAATCGAAAAAACTTGAAAATTGAGTCTTTGCACCAAACTCTGATTTTTTAATTACAATTTCGTTGAAACCAACGGTTGCAGACCTTGTTATATATTTAACTATGAATTGTGTTAGATCAAATAATCTAAGTTTGAAATAAAAAGATTCAAACTATCAGGCTGCAAAGATATAGGGATTTGAAAATTTGAGTTTGTGGCAAAGACTCAATTCCTTTGTATAGTTATCAACTTATCATCATCATTTTTATCATTAAAACCCATTAGCGATGGCCATTTTCAATATTTGTGAAAATTACATTTTGTAAACATGCCTTAGAATATTTTTTTGGTTTTTGAAAACTATTCCACCTCTATTATCTTAGGTCTATGACATTTGGTTGCAAAGATTATAAAGATTAGAGTTATTGGAGAAGTTAAGGTTTCAAGTGTAAATCTTCCCATTTCATTTTATGTCATATATGATTGAGAGAAAACATGCAACCATGTATGCTGCAATCCAGCTTTCACCTGTTAACTGCTTATTTGCAATAGGGTGTAGAAAATATGCAGTATGCTGAGCCTGAAACATAAAAAAATCTTTTTTGTAGTAAAGTGAATGGGTGATTAAGCAGCATACTCGATCTTGAACCTTCACAAATACAACCCTTCCGCCCCTCCCCCCCCCCCATCAATTACCACATTCCTTACTAATTATGCAATGTGTGCATCTGTGTTTGAATAATTTAAATGTTATTGTTAGTCGGAACCTTAAGATGAGAGCAAACCTTATTTTTCTTGTCTGTATTTCCCATGCTGCCGCCGAGTGCTGTCTCGGGAGGGTATATATTTTGTTATATTACATTTTAGGAGATTTCAATTTTTTTATTTTTCAAAATCTTGTTACAATCAATATTAACTTTTCGACTCTGTGTAAAAAAAGATAATACAAAAATGATTTCCTACCATTACAAGATTACAAATAGAGCTAGTTCCATTACAAGAATTAAGTATTTGCCACAAACTCTGATTTTCTACTACTAATAACTTTGCAATCCACTGTTGAAGACTTTGGTATTTCAAACTATGAATTCTTTTAGATCAAACTTTTTAAGTTAGAAATACTAAAGGTTTACACTATCAGGTTGCAAAGATACAGGGATTCAGAAAATGTAGATTGTGGCAAAGACTCAATTCCTCATTTATGCTGTATAAAAGATCTGCTCAAAACTAAAAGCAATTCTACAGAAAGATTCCTCTTCAACTTGTTAAAGTTTATGATTAGAGTTTCCCTGTTTTAAATTTAAAATACCAGCTTCTAATTTTTACTCAGAAATGACCATAAAAAATTCTATATGTTTTTTATCACCTTAAAAGACTGAACCTGGCGGGGATACATATGTTTTCAATTCTACTGCTCAGCTAGCAAACCTACCAGCCGACTGCTATAGTGGATGCTTGTATCACAAGCGTGGAGACACATCAGGTCCTTCTCTCAATCTACTATTAGTCTAAATATTGGCAGAGATGCATAATATTAAGAAGCATGTGATACAGGCAACCTGCAAAATTGCTAGCATAATGTAGTTAACCCTTTAGCATGGTAGGTTGCTTTTAGAAAAAGGTTGAATGATTTTTGAAATTTTGAAGAACTCGAAAAAATTTTCAAAGATTACAAATCTGTAAAGATCATTTTCACTACATAGATCAAACTAAATTGTTCACAGATTTAGAAATTAAAGTTTGATAGCTTATATTTTTGTGTTGCTGTTAATTAAAATATCTACCATTACTTAACTTTTAGTTATAGGCATAATAAAAGGATCTTCTTTGTTCTTACAAATGACCTTATATTTGATTTGTAGTAAAAAGCTAAATTTAAACTTTTCAGGCGAGCTTTTTTGTTTTGGTGAGGGTAATGTTACTACTGAATGCAGTGGCGAGGTATCATTTAGATTATATCAATCACACTTTTGTTGTTAATGCAATTTAAAGCTTTTTAGAGAGCAATTTGAACTCTGTCATTTAGAAAGAGGTCAACTTTGGTATTTAACTTATCTATTTTAGGGACAGCTGGAAACTGTTCTGCTGTTCTCAGATCCAGATGGTAAAACTTTATTAAATGGTAGAACAGGTTGATTAGAAGGGCAAACCAATTCTAGCACTCATCATTAAGCTCCCTAGATTGGAAGTATTCCCATTTGAGCACTCCCGTTTTAGCCTCTTTAGACTGTATATGTACTGTCAATGTGATCTAGCCAGTCTGTATTTGATTAGGGTTTCCAACGTAATAGATTATTCACTTACGCGAAATTAAGTTTCATGTAATTTCAAAGGATTTCGCGTAATCGGCAAAACTTCAATTTCGCCAAATTATGACGTAATTTTTACAAAAGTAATTTTGCGAAATGTTGCAATATTTACGCATCAGCAAAACCTCCATACAAACCAGTCTACAGAAGTTAACTTTAAGTACAAGAATCTAAATACATCAGAGGTTTTATGACTGATCTCACAGGAATGAACAGAAAAAAATAATTAATTGTTAATTATAATTCAGTATTTTAAGAAAAAAGAGTATTTTTTTATTTCCAAATCTTTAAAAGGTTTTAATACACCTCCTTAGACCCCCGGACCACCACATTAAACACTATACAATATAAACTAGTTTTTTTTTAATCTTCATTCGACAGAATCAATCTTAAGGAATACTAATTGTCCTAACAAATATTTTAATAAGTGAATATTTGCAAATTATCTTTTTTCCATCTCATGATCTAAGTTTGCTTCCCTTTTGTCCATTTGACAGGCTACTTAAATTTTTTTAAATAATCTTTTTTGTTTGTTTATTTTCTTTATTTAAATTATTCAATCAGATTGGACATGGTTGTAGTGCGCATATCCTCACACATATTTTCCCGCTATATTCATTTCTGAGAATTAACAAATACTTTATAATTGCAGAATGGTTTCGTATTTCGTAATTTCGCGTAATTACGCCCTAATTACGCGAAACTAGACTCTCTTTTGTATACGTAATTAGCATGTAATTTCACGTAATGCTTCTCTGTAAGTGAAAGAAAGTGTTCTGCGTAATTATGTGTAACGTAATTACGACTGGAAACCCTATATTTGATGCATAAAACGTACTGGGTCAACTCTGCACTGGGTAGTCTAGACAAATAGAATGGCTGAATGCTTTCGAGCGCATGTTTTAATGCCACAGATCATGCAACTTTTAGACTGGTGTGCTGTACACAACTTCCACACTAAGGGGCGGATACAGGATTTAAGTAAGGGGGGGGGGGGGCAAGATTTTTTAGGAACAAAAAATCTAATTTTTTTTTACTTCAAAGACTCAAAAAGAGTCAAAATTAATGACTAAAGACTAAAAAACTAGATTTTTAACTTTTCACACATTAAGACGTAGATATTTTCCCTGTTTTGCACTAGGGTTTCTTTCACTTAAGCATGTTATTGAGAAGCTATTCTGAAAATAGGAACACAAAATTCCAAATTAAGGGGGGGGGGGCTACACCCCGCCCTGTATCCTCCCCTGTCCACACTTCCACAAACTATTTAGAAATTGGGCCGGTAGATAAAATCAACACTTTAAAAATCACAATTTTAACAGGACTGTAATAATTTTCTAATTTTCTTAAATTACTTCTATATAAATAAAATAACCTCTTTGATTGTTTAAATATTGCCAATCTCTTGCAAAAGCCCACTTCAAAGGGTTTAAAAAACATTTTAAAAATTAGGTTGTTAATTATTACAAACTAATCTGACTTTAAATTTAGGAGCCCAAAGTTATCCCTGTGATTTTTCTTATGATGGTGGCGTCTTTAGTTATTTAAACAGTGCAGGTAGGATTGGATTCAATTAAATTGCATTTGAAATTTTGTTTTTAAACTTTTCTTTGTGTATCCATTGGAGCAATAATGTTATATCGCTAAACCTGTTCCTGCTGATCAATCTTCTATATATACAAATATATTAAACATTTTCAAAATTTTATTTTATTGTGAATGTAAGGTTTCCCTCCTTTTATTAGAATTGTTCATTTTACTGCTTTTTGCAGGAGCTGCATATCTAAATGGAAAAGTCTATTCCTGTACCTCAAAATGGTTAGTGAAAAAACCCTGTTTTTACACACCAAATTAGCTTTTTTTCCAATAGGATTGAAAATATGAAAATTTAGGTGTTATGCCAATACTGGAAGAAATGGTAGATGGGAACAGATTGCATCATTTCCCTTCTATATAGGAAATTATGCAATGTCATCTGTGGGATCATATATTTTTGTCACATATAAGAAGTAAGTAACTTTTATTTAACAGCAAGATATAAGCAATAAGTGTAGGTTGCATGTTTATGGATTTTATCATTGCTATTTTATTGGTTATTATTTGTAATCTAGTTCCATTATGCGGTATGAGGGAAATTCTTGGTCAAACTTGGACAAAAATCTTACCACTTACAGAATACGTCACTGTTCTGTTACAGTAAGGTAACATTAAAGTAATAAATATTTCTTTTTTAATTTTGGTCCATAATAGTTTACTTGTTATGCTTTTTTATCATGATTTATATATTAAATTGGGGTCTTTAGTGATACTGAACTGATCCTTATTGGTGGTAATTTCAATAAAAATGTTATTACAACAAGTGTAGAAAAGTATGACGTAGATGGAAATTTGGTTGAAACTTTACCAAGTTTAGAAAACTACAGGTATTTACTTTTAATGCTTTGTTATGTTTACCCTTTGGTTGGTTTAAAGTCTGTAACAGAATTCACTGTAAGCATTATTTTAAGTGGGCATATGTGAATTGCTAATTTTTTCTGTCATTTGCAGCAAAACTGTTACAAAGTGAAATAAAGTGAATTAGTTGCAGAAGGACATTTCTTATCATTTTAGCAATTTAATTCAGATGCTTACCTTGGTTTCAGAACTTGGAATTCCAATAAAAAGGGTTTCCAGTTATTTCCAAAAATAGATTCCCTGTAATGATGGAACTACACAACTTAACAGTGACAAAATAATGTTTATAAAAGTTGATGTTCCCATCTGATGTTTCATACCTTGGATATTTCAAACTATGAATATTTGTCAGTAAAATTAGCTTGGCAAAGTTTGAAATATAAAAGGTTTACACCATCAAGTTTGGATGAAAAAGGGATTACTACATGCCATTGTGTCAAATGTCATTTTTACAGGTTGAAAATCACTTAGTGATAATTATATTAATGTTTCACTGAAACATGCAATTTGTTGACATGAAGTTTTTTGATATATGTATTACAATTTAGTATTTATTAAACATATTTATCCAGAGAAAGAATTGGATGTGCATTATTTGAGGATTCAATCTATGTTGCTGGAGGAACCGTCCTATATGCGTAAAATTTATGAAATTTAAATTTTGAATTTTAAATAAGAAAGTCTTAATCTTATGCTAGCATTTTCATTATAAAGGAACAGCTACGATAGTTCTGAAAGTTATTGGGATGCAACTACTGATGTGTTTGCATACAGTTTGACCAACAAAGAATGGCGACCAATTAATAAATTAAACTGGGTAAGATCTGGTTTAACCATGGTGGTGCTAAATGGAAAACTGACAGTGTTTGGAGGCAGACAGGATGAAAGAACAACAATAGAAGAATATGATGGAGAGGAATGGACACTTTTGGATGCTGCATTACCAAAGCAATTCTTAAATGGTGCATCTGTTGTTGTTCCTTGTCCATAATTAAATTTTTTGATTTAATTGGATGAAAATTAAAATTTGCAAGATTAAGGAACTGGAGAAGGCATTGATTTAATCTAATCTTCTTCGATTTTTACATTTAACATAATTATGATTGATGTAATAATAATTTCAAAATAAAATTGGTGAAAAAAAGAGTGCACAATACAGTTTTTTAATTTTTTTAAAGAAAATTTATGAAAATTATAAATTTAAATGTAAAACTGATATGTCTCTATTGATTTTATGGTTTATAGGACTAAGGGGCCTGAAAACCCCTTGGGAACCATAAATTACACTGATCAGAATTACTAATAAGTTTATACCACTGTAATGAGCATGGCCCAACGATGGCCCAAAGACCAAGGGAGTTGAAGTATTGCTTTTAAACATACTATAAATACACCAATTGATACTATTGCTATTTTATTTATTATAATCAAAACATAGCCAATTGAAAAAAGTGTAAGCTCTACAAGATGTTGTGTAGAACTGCTGTAGAGAAGGAATATAGCTTTGTCTAAAAGAGATTGCAGATGATTTGCTTTTGATCATTGGTTGGTTTCTAAACCCGTCGTATATTCATATCACAGGATTAAAATTAAACTGTACCATCTTTGAAAACTGCTCATGCTCATGCTCATGCTTATGCTCATTTTCACCTTTTTACTAATAAAGTTCCTACAGCTAAAAAATATATATCTAAATCATTGCAAGAAATATTAGTGTTTAAATGTAGTCAAGAACATAACATTTTTTTACATGTATAATTGATTAAAAACCCTTCTTGAGAGGACTGTAAGTGTAATTTTATGTGACCCTTCATGCAAAAATGGCAATGCCAATTCCCAGCAGTACCTTGAAACCTTTAACAGATTGTTAATATGGAACATATTACTTTTCTAGGTTTATAAGTTTTAATTCAGTAGAAGAGCAAGTCACTTATGTTGTGAAATAACAATTGAAAATGATCCACTTTAGGAGCTTTAAACATTGATGTTATATGTTAATTATAATTAATTAGATTAAGTTTTTATGGGTACTGTTGTGAATAGGGCAATGCCATTTGTGGCTGGAGATCATTTGAAACTATGCTTACAGTCCCTTTAACACTAGTTTCCATGAATCCATTTCAAAAGAAGTCAGAACAGTCAAGATAATATTAATTGTGCAGCTGGAGTTCTTTAAATTATGGGTTATTAAAGATTTCATCCTTGAAATGATACAGTTTGCTAATGGAAACAGTGTGTAATCAGTTGGAAAATATTAAATGAAAAATAAAATAAAGTCAGCCAAATCTTTCCAATTTAAAATCCTCTACAAACTACCTACATGAAAAGTTGATAAATGTTATGCAATATTTTTTTTCCATTAATTCTCTCAATTTCTAAATGAATGAAAGGGACTGAAAAGTGACTCCATTTATGACATGTCCAAAGATACCCTAAAAGCTATGGCTGATCAAAATGCATTCATATTCTTCATTTTTTTCTGAAAAATTATTTGATTTCTATTGTGGTTTTATCATTAAGTGATTTATGGATTTCTGTTTAATGACTTTTACATCATGGTTTAGTTAAAAGTGTAGGAGGATACTGTTTTGAATCTGGCATAATCCTTGTCTACAAAAAATAGATGAAAATGTAAAATGAACCTTTTTTAAACTATAAAGTGTGGTTAACATTTACCGAATATTGAAAATTGATGATTTTATAACAATTTATAAAATTAACAAAATGTGGTTTGATTTAACCCTATGAAGGCTTTGAGGTGTGATTCTATGTACAGCCTGGGGGGCATCCCACGTCCCCCCCCCCAAAAAAAAGTCTTAGAGAATAGTTATAGGGTTAAGATCTGTGTTCATAGCCCAATTTTTCAAGGTCAAGCTCATTGAAAATTAGATCGATAACTTTAATTGTTAGGGGGCTAGCTAGACAGAGTGGAACAAAATGAAAAAATAACAAAAAAGGATGAAAAAAGTGTAAAAAATATATATTGTTTTTTTCTAAACAAATATCAAAGTATGACACATGTTTCTCATCTATTTTTTAGGGCTTTTAAAAAAATAGTTTTTGGATCTGTAGCCTTTGTTACAAAAAGTTATGAGCTAGTTTAGATTTTCTCTTTCACAGACCAGATTTTTTTTCCAACCTGTACCCTACCCTATAAATAAAAAAATAAAAAAATTTAAATCCTTTAAATTTTTACAGTCCTGCACCCTACCCTATGCATTAAAAAATATGTTTTTTAAACATATTTTTTCTATTCATTTTGAATTTAGAATCCTCAAATATCTGGAGATGTCATTTTTTCATTATTTACAAGATGGGCTTTTCTCAAGAACTTAAAAGAAGTAGTCGGGGTTAAGAGATAGTAAATCATATAAAAAAACGTTGAAAATGCAAAATGAACAGTTTTAAACTTTTAAGTTGGGTTTTTAAAGTTTGAGTGCAATCAGCATTAAAATTGATAATTAGTGGGCTAAAGATTAATATTTCTTCAAAATGATATAAAACATTGTTCACAGTCAAAATTTTAGGATTGTATGACAATTATGGTAAAATATATAACAATGTCCTATACACGCATTGAATTTAAGGCAGTCTTTGAAGAAAAAGAGCACCTCTAAACAATTTTTACAGGTCCACCCTAACAGCCCTGTACCCTAACCTGAGCATTAAAAACATAATCATTCCTAAAAACCTTTCAATCGCATTTTGTTAAAAGTAAAAAAAATTAACAGTGATAGTGTCCAAAAATTAATGGTATGACAAAAAAACTAAAGGGAGGGGGACATCAAATGCCCCCCGCATAACCTTTTAGGGTAAGCAACCATGGGGGAGGTTGGAAACCCCCATTATCTTGGCAAAGCTCTGATGAAATGGAGGTTTTTAAAAATTAACAAAAAAGTTTTAACAAAGGTAAGAACTGCATGTTCTTTTTTCTTATTAAAATTCAATAAAACTTGCAGAAAATAAAAGTTAATCTTTTATGTATTTTGGAAGTGAAGGTTTATCAAATATGTTTCTCTATCACACAAATATAGAGCATAAATGACTAAAAGCCTACAAAAAAAAGGTGCACATTTGTGACTTATTTAACAAGTGGTTATTCAGTCCTTAAATCCAAAATTATATCTTAAAGGCATTATTCTTTGAGTACCTGATCCAAGCTGTTAAATGTCACAGACAGGTACTGAATCAAACCCTGATTCATATTGAAAACCAATTTTTCGATTGGAATAATGTCAAGTCATATTAACTAACTCCCTAGCTGTGGGTTAATTAAAAAAAAACTTGTTAAGAATATTTGATCCATTATAAGTAAGACAAATAAATGGCCAAATTTTATTTTTTCAATTAATAAATAGTAATTAATTCAAGTAAAATCATTAACGTAGAGGTGGTACAGTTGAGCTGTGATGAATGGTGCCAGTAGCTCCATCTCCAGTAGTACTCATTGGGCTGGGGTGCTTGGTTGGGCGCGTACCATCTGTGGTGTAAGTCACCTCAATTTTTTCTTCCTCTTCTTCATCTTCCTCTGAGGAGGAGGATGACTCTTCACTTTCATCTTCCTTGTGCTGGAGATTTTCCATCAGTTTTTTGATCATTTTATCATTAAGTTTTCCACACTCCTGAGTTGGGTATCCATCTTCCATTTCTTCTGATGATTCCTTTTGTTCGAAACAGTAGTAAACTCCATTCCTACTGTAGAGGCATCCATCATCACAAGCCGGTTCCATAGCCTAGATAATCCATCTATACATGTGTAGGTTGTTTTTTCTAATAAAGTTTTAACTATAACTTAATTTTACTTACAGACTCTAGTTTATAAGATCCAGCTTTAGGTCCCTTGAGGATATTCTTGCAAGGAGGACACATCTTTCCTAAACATCAAATTGAATTAAATTTTTTGTGAACAAGTTTTAAAAATAGGAAAGAACTGCAAAGTTTTTAATATGGTAATCATCAAAAGATCCACTTTAAAAAATCTTAACAAATAGTTTTGAAAATTGAACAAAAACAAATAGCAAATACATTACAATTATTAATACTATGCTAATCGCTAGGTGCTAGGTAATTCAAACAAAACAAAATTCAATAATTTTTGGGACGATAAACTTAATGTCATCTTTGTCTTACCCATTGCCATTTTAAGCCTGAAACTTTCCATATCCATGTCTTTTAAGCCTCCCATACAACCCATATCTGGCTTTGGCATTGGTTTTCTGGTTGGCTTAGGACCAGGCATGTCAGTTGGAGGCATGGATTCGTTTCCTAGACCGGTTCCAAATCCAGTAAAATCAATATTTTCAGGGGTAGATTTCATCATTTCATCATGGGTAGAGGCACTCACATCAGATCCAGTGCTGGAGACATCTTCAGACAGAACAACCTGAATTTTAATTTAAATAAATAACGTATGATTCACCATAACCTCAATTATTGAAAGCACTTGATATGCTAAATTACTAAATTACTTTTTCAATGTTCAAACAATTGCTTGCTTACACAATGCCAAATTTTGATTCTGAGATAGAATATATGTAAAAAGTATTTATGTTAAAACAATAGGTTTTTTGTATGTTTTTCCATTTTTTTAAATCATAATATTTCATAGATTAATAAAAGAAAACTTTAACCAAATACAGTTTTGAATTGAGAGAAAGGACTTGAGTTTTTGCCACAAACTGAAAAAGTCTAATCCCTATATTTCTCCTACCTAAAGATGTTAACCTCTGATATTTCAAGCTATGATTATTTGATCTAACATAATTCATAGTCTGACATATCAAAGCATCTACAGCATCGGGCTCCAAAGATATAGTGATTAGAAAATAAAAGTTTGTGGCAAAAACTCAGTTCCTTTTTTAAGAATATTTTAAACTAAAAAACAACTCTAGGCAGAGCCAACTCTGTTTTCAAATTACTTTTTACTCATTAAATTAAATTTCTGAAAGTTAAAGGTTAAAAATCGAGTTACTCATGGTTTTAAAGCAGTAACCCAACCAGGAGCTTTAGTTTAAAGATGGAGAGCTTATAACCTGGATTGTTATAGAGAGGAGGAGGAAGATCTTCATGTTGTTTCGTGGCTAAACTTCAAGCTTGGACTGATTTTAACCCACCAGGTTCTTGCAATTTACTACTTTTCTACAAGTGTAGATGGCCTTGAAGCCTAATTATTTAGAATATTTTCATATTTCAAAAGTAGAGATGAATGCTAGAGAGTTGTAACAGATGTGGTTATATTAGAAAAATATATATTTTTCTGAAAATATCAAAGTAGTTCTAAATAAATATCAATTCAATAGATAATAAGCAATTTTAAAATGTTGCTTCTTTCTTTCTCCAGATATATCTGTGAAGCCTAAATTTACTTTAAAAAAAGATTAAATTCAATGAGAAGGAGACAAGACAAGGATGTGAAAATTACACTTGGAGTTAGAATTTTTTCAATCTCTAAGCATTGCCACTATCCCATCAAAAATTCTAGTCAGGGTTTCCAACGTAATAGATTATTCTCTTTCGTGTAATTACGTGCAGTTACTCGTAATAATTTTCATTTCGTGTAATTTCACAGGATTACGCGTAATTGGGGAAATATCCATTTCGCGAAATTACAGCGTAATTTCGCATAATTTCTACAATGTAATTTCGCAAAATTTTGTAATGATTACGCGTAATAAGTGAAACTATAATTGTGCGTAATTACGGCCTAATTTCGCGTAATTTCTATGAGGTAATTTCGCGAAATTTTGTATTAATTACGTGCAATTAGCGAAACTTCAATTTTGCGTAATTTCTACAAAGTAATTTTGCAAAATTTTGCAATAATTACGTCTATGAATTTTTGAAGTTTTAACTTTTAATTTAAATAAAACAATTAACTTACTAGGAAAATAATGTCACACAAGTTGAATCAGAATTTCAGCCAATACTATGTTGATGTAATTTTCACGTTTGACAACTAAAAAGTTTAACAAAGGGCCAACAATTTATTTTTATCAAGAAATACATAATCTATAAAATTTTTAATTTTCAACGACTTGTTAATATTTCAACCTACTTTCTCAAGTTTACCTTCCTTGTTTGAAAAAATTTTCAATTAAATCGTCATAATATGTTTGACATGGTTGTAGCGGGCATATCCTTACACATACTTTCCTGCTATAATTATTTCTGAGAATTAATATGTACTTTATTTATTACGGAATTGTTTTGTATTACGTAATTTCGCGTAATTACGCCTTAATTACGCCAAACTAGACTTTCTTTCATAAACGTAATAAATGCGCAATTACTCGTAATGCTCCTGCGTAAGTGAAAGAAAGTGTTACACGCAATTACGCATAATTACGCGTAATTACGACTGGAAACCCTAATTCTAGTGGACTCATTGAATTATTCAAGTTGAGACATTGCCTGTGTAGCAATTTCACTGGACTGGGTGTCCTTTAGAACCGGGGAGTGTGGCCTGGTCGAGAATTTTGTCTGTGTGTCATTTAGAATCTGAGAACTTAGTCCTGGTTGATCTGAAAACAAGTGATACCTGGATAGATACGTCTTAAGTAAATTGTTATGGAGTAGGCGTTTACTACATTCCTAGCTGCCTGTTATGTGGTACATGTGATTAGAAGATAGATCCCAATCTTCTGCGATTTATTATCAGTGTATCAGTGTATCAGGAAAGTTTTGCCTAGCAACATACATGAGTCATGGAAGTTTTAATAGTACTTTAGAAGGATAATTAAATTCATCTGTGCAGTCCGGCCTGAAATTGGCAAAAGTGTACATTTTTTGGATATACAATATATATTTTATAATCTCAGATATATAATTAATATTTTTATAAAAATAAAAAGTGATGAAAATGGAATAGAATGTTAAAAAGTATTACACATTGCTACACTCTATTAGGGCTCATCAGTATGGCTCTATACATCAGAATTTAATTTTCCAGTTGCAGTTTTAATAAGATTAATAAATTATCTACCTTACGATGTTACCCATAGGACGAAATGTAAATTACTGTATAGTGCTGAAGTAATATAAATACATAGGTACGAACCCTAATTTTGCATAGTAATAAGACATCTTATGCACATATTTATATGATACAGTTAGAATGTAACTTTAAACATTTTCGTGAAAAGGTTGACCTGCAACCATTTAATGTCTACACACATTTTTTGAGAAGTATTTTGTTAATAAAAATTATTTCAAAGTTTTCATAAAAAGAATTGTAACTGAATCTCTGCCATTAAAATCTCATGAGTATCCGTATTTTGAATTAAACCCTTTCAGGCAATTTTAGTGTCAACATAAATTAAAAAGTCTTGAACAGAATGTTTTAATGAACTTGAATAGTTTAGAAAAAAAAAGAATCATAGTCACATCAGCAGGAACCAAAAATGTAAAAAATAAGAATAAATAAATTTCCTGACAACCTGGTTGACCCTGTATATATAGCATCAAAATATTTCATTTGTGGATCTTTAAATACTCACTTCGCTCCGTAAAACTAAAGCATGCAGTATTGTATAACCCACTTCCCCTTCTTATAAGATTATTTTTTGTTTTTATAATCAAAAAATTCTTTAAATTTTGTAGAAATATATATGTTTTGGTAAAAGAATCAGATTTTTGTTGCTACAACTACAATTTGTATACGAAACAAAAAAAGTTTATGTAGAACAAACATTGCTTTTCTTTTTAGCTTCAGCATTTTCCTGGTGCAGACTAAAATCATGGTTTTCATTGATTGCGAATGTCAAATTTTCGTGTTTGATTTTACACACTATATTTAACTGGTTCTTAATAAAACTTTAGGAGTAGTAAATCATAAATATGCTTTTGTCATAAATATATACCTTATCTATTATATAGAATTTTAAATAATTGTCTTTTGCTGAAATTGCTTTAACAGTTGTTTAATTTCAAATAATTTCCTGCAAAGTTTGTTCAATTTAAAAACAAATGCATTTTTAACAACTGTAATTTTCAAGGTAACATTAGCCCAGATTAATACTTGACACAAAAAAAACATAAATAATTATTTAATAAACCATAATGCATATTTTGAAAATAATGATAATAATTTAGGATTTAGCTGCACATTTTTTCCCGATAAAAAGAAGTTAAAAAACGGTTGCATTTTTATAAATGTACTTTTAGATAACTTTGAGCATAGGGTTGCGCATATGAGATTTACGTTGTAAACCGCAATCCTGTGAATTGTATATCTCCTGCCACTTTAATATGTTAACATGTTATTGTGCAATAAATATTACTTGCTTACTTACTTAGTTTTCAATAGCGATCAGTTTAGTTTTGGATTTTGATTTTAGTTTAGTGGTCTCTTCGTTTACTTCAATTCCAGATATAAATCGTAGGAATAGCAAGATCCACCAATGGCCCCTCTACCATAAGGGTTTGTTCAAAGGTTTTCTCCTACTTATTCCCTTGCCATAATGCAACCATCTTTACTCATAATAGCTATCTCTTCAGATCCTCAAACATAGGTTTAATAACGAGATTTGTTGATTTACATGTAATGACATAAATATATCTGTTATAACGGTTTCCTATCTAATACACACTACATGAGGCTAAAGAGTCCCTCAGTAGTTCATCTGAACTTCTGCTCCCTGATGTGTTAGATTTGGTCCCAGCTAATCCTTCTATAGATCATATAACCTGATCTCCTGATCAATCCTAGTTATCTCCTTCATAGATCATATTCCATAGGGCCAAAGAGTCCCTAAGTAGTTCATCTGTATTTAATGTAACTGGTGATTTATGATCATCCTCGTTATCTATCAATCTGCCACAGATCTATGATCCTCTCCTTGTAGCTCTCCTGTAGTTTATATAACTGGTGATCTATGATCATCCTAGTTCTCTATCAATCTACCACAGATCTATGACCCTCTACTTGTACCTCTCCTGTAGTTCATATAACTGGTGATTTATGATCATTCTAGTTCTCTATCAATCTGCCACAGATCTATGATCCTCTCCTTGTAGCTCTCCTGTAGTTTATATAACTGGTGATTTTTGTGATCCATCCTAGCTCTCTATCCATCTGCTCTTGATCTCTAGTCTCCCCAGTATCTACAGTCTCCACAGTATCTGCAACATCTACATTATCTGCAGTATCCTTAATATCTGCATTATCCCCCATTCTCTGTGGTCTGCTCTGCATACTTACAGTCTGCTCTATATCCCTGTGATCGGTAGTCTGCACTGAATCTCTGTTGATCTACAGTCTACTCCATATCTCTGTGGTCTGTAGGGTGCTCTGCATCTCCGTTGATCCCCAGTCTGCTCTATATCTCTAGATCTGGAGGATGCTCTGCATCTCTGTTGATCTCCAGTCTGCTCTATATCTATATGATCTGTAGGATGCTCTGCATCTTGGTTAATCTCCAGTCTGCTCCATATCCCTGTGATCGGTAGTCTGCACTGCATCTCTGTTGATCTACAGTCCACTCCATATCTCTGGATCTGTAGGATGCTCTGCATCTTGGTTAATCTCCAGTCCACTCTATATCTCTGGATCTGTAGGATGCTCTGCATCTTGGTTAATCTCCAGTCTGCTCTATATCTCTAGATCTGTAGGATGCTCTGCATCTCGGTTGATCTCCAGTCCACTCTATATCTCTGGATCTGTAGGATGCTCTGCATCTTGGTTAATCTCCAGTCCACTCTATATCTCTGGGATCTGGAGGATGCTCTGCATCTCGGTTGATCTCCAGCCTGCTCTATATCTCTAGAATCTGTAGGATGCTCTGCTTTAAATATTTCAATTTTTAAAACAAGCAAAAATTCGTTTTTCGGAAAAAAACACATAATAAAAATGGAAACACGATTGTTTTAGATTAAAAACGACAGTTTTGGAAAAAAGTATTTTGAAATTAAAATTAAAATTTTCGAAAACATCCTACAACGTTTGTTTTCAAAAATATAGTTTTATGGAACGATCTTTTTTCCTTCCTTCATAACTTAGTTTCATTCCTTTAAAAAAGAATGGTTTTCAAAACAATCTTTTTGTTTTCATATTTTTTATATTATTAACAAAACGAAACAAAGGTTTTTCAAAATGTCAAAATAATATTAGAATAAATAATATTATTTATAGAAATAAAAATTA